GGGCGGGGTGAAAGCCGGAAGTGCCTGGGGACAGTGGGTCAGATCGAGGTATTAAATAATGAAAATCAAATCCAATTCCCAAGAGACAACTTTAGAAGTACACAGATAGAGGCTTTCATATATATTTTTCCCTTCTATAAAAATAATTCTATAGTTAAATTCAGACTCCAATTCAGGCCTTGACTTGTTTGCAGATACAGTCACACAATTCAGAAGGCGCCGGATGTCACTGTCATACACAGCGCCAAGATACCCATAATTATTCTTTTCTGCTCAGCCTAAATTGACACTTGGTGCCAAGGACAGTGGGGTCGGACAGAGGTTAATGACAGTGAGAAAGCTGGAGTACCAACCACCTTTTGACAGGATGGGCTCCTAGGAGGGAGGACCTGTAGGATGCCCTGTGAGCCGGCTCGGGTATGTTCATATCCACCGCGAGGCCTGCACTGGCCCAGGGCTGCTGCTCCTGGAATTGGATTCTGCAAGGCCAAGGCCTCCCCGAGAACCTCTCCCCAGCCCACATCCAGGGCAAGCCGGACCTCCCTCCAGGGCAGGAAAGGCTAAGTCAGAGTGCTTCAGGAAAAGGGCAGATCTTTCAAAGTCCATAAATTAAAAGGAAATCCTTACTTCCGGTTTCCGGTAAGATCTTCTGTTTGTAAGATCTTTTTTGTTGTTGTTGTTGTTGTTTGTCTTTTGTGTTTTTGCTTTTTTCCCCCTCCTCCCTTTTTTCTTTGCTTCTCCTTCCTTTTTTCCTTTAGTAGGTTACCTGATGAGCACAAGGGTGATGCTAGGAAAATGTAAAGATTCCCCAAACTTTGTCATTCGGAAGACAGAGAAAGATGTGGATGATCTCCCACATCAAAAGTTTCTTCAAAGTCTGTGGCAAAAATAGTAGCACCTTCAGAATCTTAAATAGTTTTTTTTCCTTAAAAAAAAAAGTCACATACACTATGCGAGACAATTGCGAGCACCAGCGATTTCACAGTGGGAGGTAGCAAACGTGGGTTCCCCCAGCCCCGAGGATCTCGCCTCTTCCCACCCCCTGGTTGCTCTTTCTCATCCTCTTCTCTCACCTCTTTCCCAGGTGGAAAAAAAAAATAGTAACACACCCTCTTTGTGTTTGTTTAAATAAAAAATATATATATAGACTTCTTTCTTTCCTTTTCTCCTTTTTCATGTCTCCTTTCTAATATTGCACATCAAAAGCTCCCTGGCAGGGACCAGCTGACGAGAGATGCCCCTTCCCTTAAGTTGGCTTGAATGTGGGGCTCTTTGGGTAAGAAGCCAGGCAGGGAAGGGCGGCCACAGAGCTGTGAGTCAGGCCACGGGGCCCAGGTGGGTTGCAGGCCCAGCTTGCTCTGGTTGGTTCTTTGGTTGGTCTTTGGGGCTAAGCTGGGATTGGTTGTTCTGAAGAGCGACTGTGCCTGCTTCCTCTTTCCCCCTACTCCTACTGAGCAGACAACAGCTGGGGCTTCCCCAAAGCTCCTTGGGCAGAGGGGATGCCTCTTCTGGGGCCACATGCCCCTCAGTACCCTTCTCTTGCCTCCTCCTCCTCCTCTTCCCTCCCCTATGAGGCCTACAGGAGCCTGGAGGACAGAGGTCAGAGGAAGCACGCAGGTCCAACTTCAAGGCGGTACTGCTTCCCTGATGAGGCAGGAGGGAGGTTGTCCACGCCAACGATGGGCAGCTGCTGGGGGTCCTGGGTACGGAAGGTGAAGAGTGTCCGGTGCCAGCGACCATCGTGGACCTTGGGCAGAAGGGAGAGTGTGCGCATAAGGTTTTGTGGCTGTCATCTCCTGCTGTGCATTCCCCCATCAGCTTTCCTCCCAACTTGAAAGGCCACATGGCATTTCACTGTAGCAGTGGCCTATATTTGTATACCCAAGTTGTTTCCATCTTTTAATTCTTGTAATGCTTAAGAAAATCACCTTTGTGCACATTTTTAACTATATTCCCCACGACAAATTCTAGAATTAGAATTGCAGGACCAAAGGGTAACTATACACCTAAGGTTCTGGATATATATGAAATATGTATCTGAATATATATTTATGCATAGATGAATCTCTAGAAAGCCTATACCATTTGATTTTTTTCCTATAGCTTCATGAGGGAGGATGGGTTCACCACTTCCTCACTAATACTATGTGTTACCACTTTTGTTCAATCTTATAAAACTGGTTTTTTGCCTTTTGACAACTTTCTACCTCTCCCTTGGCCCCAAACCCACCCTGTTTGGGGCACTGGAAAATGGCAAAGAAAAAATTATCCTGACCAAAGTGGGGCAGAAGAGAAGAAACGGACACAGTACATACTGGCAAGGGTTCTTGAGAGGATCTCCTAGCCATAGATTTTTTTTTACCAGCCCAGACTTTCCCTGAGAAGTTTCCCGAGAGAGGAAAGTAAAAAAAATTATAAAACTATTTGGTATAAAAATAAAAGCATATAAAGTGCTAATGTAGCATAAGATTGTTAAACATAATCTTTTTTCTTTTTTTCTTTGAGACAGGGTTTCATTATGCAGTTCACACTGGCCTTGAACTCACTTTGTTTCAGGCTGACCTTGAACTCGCTGCAATCCTCCTGCCTCAGCCTCCCGAGTGCTGGGATTACAGGTGTGTGCCACCATGCCTGGCTTATAATCTTATCATAAGCAACTTTTTTTCCCAGTGTCCCCACGTGAGAGGCCCATGAGAGGTTCCCACAGTTACCTTGCAGTCATCTACAGACACTTCTGGCCTGAACTGACCCCCAGCTTCGAAGACCTGCCCGTTCCAGGCTCGGAAGCGCACAGCCTGCTTGGCCGGGGTATGCCCTGGGCCCTCCTGCCACACGGTCATGTTCAGGCAGTGGATGGTGATGTGCTGCGTCACCTCGGAGCTGAGCAGGTGCAGAAAGTTCATCTGTACCCGGCTGACAGCAAACTCCACCTGAGCGGGGCACAGTGCGAGGGTGGGGATGAACCCTTTCTTTCCTGGACGGCTTTGCCGTCTATGCACCCTGATGTGTGACCACTTGAAAGGCAGGAACACTGAGATCTGTGCAAGCTGGTCTCGTAGCCCCTTGGAAGAGGGAATGGCTGCTGACCCTGGGCTGGAGCCTTGAGGGTCCTGTGGTAGCCAATTCCACCTCCTGGTACCAGTGAGTGGTCTCGGGAGCCACTTTGTCTGCTGCTCTGTTCTGCAACTGACATGCTCCGCCCAGAGATAGGCAGGTGGCTGGAGGGCAGGGGACAGGAGTTAATAGTGACACATGAAGCTCCATAGAGCCCAGGGCTTTACTGTGTACCAATGCTCACGGCTCCCCCGGCCAGGCCCATGAGGTAGCCGCCCTGCTCTGGAAACCAGGTGGGAGAGCCCACATGAAACACTAACCCCTGAAGGGGTTTGGAAACCACAGATTAGTCAGACCCATCCCCAATTCATAGATGCGAAAACTGAGTCTGGGAAAAAGGAGGTAACTTTTCTCAGGCCACAGACAAACATACGCAGGGCTTGGAACAGAACCAAGGTTAGCTGTGGACCAGGGCACGGTGGGGACAGAGAAGGTCAGCCTGGCAGGCGGTCGGGGCACACGGGCACCTTTGAGGCGGTGATGGGCTTCAGGCAGGTCTGTCCGCCATGTGTGAAGTTGCAGGAGACTTCAATGGTGTCGGACGCACAGCCAAGGTTTGGATCCACCCAGTAGGTACCTGCAGGCAGTGGGGCAGGTGTGACAGAAGCCATGTGGGAGGAGCCAGGACTTGGCTCTGAAGAGGGACCCGCCCCTGTGACCAGCTGTGCCCCATGGAGTCAGGGGTGGGCAGAAAAGAGGTCCTGGGAGCCTGAGTGACAGAAGGAAGCCTTCCGGGCAGAGCTCATGGCTGGTGCAGCCCCAGAGGGTGCCTCGTAGGTTCCCCTGTTGCCCTGAGATGTGTCCATTTGTTAGGAGCGACTGAGGCTGAGAGAGACTGGACCCCCTGCCCAAAGGAGCCAGGGGCATCATGCTGGGCAGTTTCTCCAAGGCAGGGCCTCCAGGGCGGATGGCTCAGGCTTCTGCCTGGCAGCTGGGCACTTTGCTTCTTCTGGCTCCCCCTGCTGGGCTTCCAGGCAAAGACTGCAGCAGGGATGGAGACACCGGCCATGTAGTCCCAGCTCCAAGTGCAGAGGAGGAGAGGTGGCTTGGGTGTGCTGTGGTGCGCCCCAGTTTGCAGATGAGAGGTCAGCAAAGGGCAAACAGGGGGCATCTGAGCCCACCCAGGAAGCCCCTTGGGGCTGGGGCTCTTATGTCAACGCACTAAGATCTGTGGGCTCCGGCAGGGTGGGACCACTCCTCTGTGTTTCCCACAATATCCTCACGACAAGGCCTAGCCTACCGTGAGGCCCAGTGACTGTTTGTTAAATGACTTTCTGCCTGTGTGTCTGTCTCTCTCTGAGGCTAAAATGCTGAGAATCCAATTCTCTATTTGTTTTTGAGTCAGGCTCTAACTATGTATTTCAGGTTGGTCTTTTTTTTTGGTTTTTCTCTGGTACCGGGAACCGGGAACCGAACTCACAACCTTGTGTTTGCCAGGCAGGCGCTTTTGTCGCTGAGCTAAATCCCAATTCTCTATCTGCCCTAGCCCTTTCTGGAACTACCTTCTTACCCTAGCCCACCCCATCCCAGGTGGGATGCTCTCTCTGGCATCTGCAGGTGCTCTCACCGTCCGCTATCTTCTGCTCACAGTCCATGAGGTCCCGGCAGACCCGGGCAGGGTTCTCCTTGGTACCCAGGGGCGTCTTAATGCTCTGGATGAGGTTGCTGAGGTAGTGTAAGGTTTTGAAGATCTCCCCTCCCTGGTCCAGCACCAGCCGGTCCGGATAGCTATACTCCTGTAGGAAAGCAGCAGCCCAAGGTCAAGGCCCAGGGCCCAAGTCCTCACACTTCTCAACTTCCCCGGTTAGGCTCCTACTCACAAAGGCTGTCTCTCTCCACCGCACAGATAAAGAAACTGGGACCAGGGAAATGGTGGGGGGATTATAGGTCTTCTGCACAGGAAGGGCCACACCCAGGGACTAAGGAGAAGATGCACAGAACACTGGGGAACGGCCCCCGGCCCTCTGGGGCAAGTCTAAAAGAGGAGGAAAGAAGCCAAATTGGGGTCTTCCTGGGCTTTCTGGGCTCCCTTGGTGGTAGCAGGGGCTCCCAAGAGGCATCAGGACACAAAATTGGGGCCAGTAGCACAAGCCCCAGGAGGGCTTCAGCTTAGAGAAGGAACAGGTCTCCCACAGGGCAGCAAGGGTGTGGGGTGCTGGAGCGCAGGGCCTTTGGGTTGCCCTGTCTGGCTATGTGATGTCAAGTCTGTTTCCAGAGCCACAAATCAGAGCAAATAAGCCTCCTCCCATGATGCCCTGTGGCAGGCAGCAGTCGCATGTGCGGGTGTGTGCATGTCTGCATGGTGGGTGTGTGCACAGATGCATGCGTGTGTGGGTATGGGTGTGTATTTGTCTGCATGCGTGTGGGTCAGAGACTGGCAGCTGCTCACCCTAACTGTGCCTGCCATTTGGACACACAGAGCTCCCTTCCAGCCTCCTCTGCCGTTAGTGGGGGTCATAGGACTGTTTCAGCCAATGCAATGGGAGAGCTCTGGCCCATAGATCTCTCCTGCAGTTCTCTGTGCTACCTCCTTTGGCTAGGGCTCCCCATGGAGTGGGTCAAACTAGGGGTCCACATGTGGGAGACAAAAGGGGCAGGGCCCAGAACAGCAGTCTGAGACTGCCGTTCCCATGGTGATTAGCCTTTACATGCACAAGAAATAAAATGTACTGAATTCCGTTGTGAAAGACCTAACATTATATGCAAAGGCAGGAAGGTGCATCATAAAGAGAGCTATTTTGTTTTGTTATTTTTGTGAGACAGGGTATCACTGTGTAGCCCAGCCCAGACTTGAAATTGCTATGTAGCCCAGGTTGGCCTCAAACTATACCAGTCTTCCTGCTATAGCCTCCCTAGTCCTGTGATTGCGGTGTGCACCATACAGAGCTGGTCTCAGTAGTTATGTCAAGATTGCCTCCAGGAGGCGCTCTCCCCGGAGGCAGCATAACTGACCTCCTGATGTGGAGGGAAACTCTCCCCTCCTCTACCCGGCTGCACTCTGGGCATCTCTGTGACCTTTGCTGGGCTCTGCATGGATGGCCAGGGGCATGTACATGCTTCTTCCACCCTGAACTGTGAGCCACGCACTCAGCGCAGGGAGCAAATGAGATGCTGGTTGGAGGTCTCAGCTGAGGGCAGTGAGGTCCCCATCATGCGAAGGAGGCAAGGCTGCAAAGGGAGCTCCCTCTCGACAGGGCTGGCTATAGAACACCTGAGGCCCTTCTCTGCCTGGAGTGCAGGCCAGGGTCTCAGCAGAGCTCAAGGGTTGACCAGGGTCACAGGGTCACACAGTGCCCAGGCTGCTTCACACTGGCTGTGTGACCCTGGACTTGCTGTTGCCCCCTGAGCCTCGGTAACTCAGCTGGCTCCTCCATCTGCGACTGGATGGAGGTCGAGATGAGGTTCTGAGACACTTGGTGCAGGCCACATCCACAGCACTGGTCTCTTCTGGGAACGGAGCTGCTGGTACCTCTGATCTGAGTGCTCCGTTAGTGTCCATCCACGTCTGGAAAGCTGCCCCGAGGTCATCTTGTTGCTGTGCAGGGAAAGACAAGGCATACACTCCAGCCATGGTGCAGGGTCCCCACAAATGGGAGCCCTGGGATCCATGCACCCACTCTCCCACCCCGGTTTCTCTGGCAGGATCTTGGCCAAGCCATTCGCCCTTTGCGGACAGAATTGGAGTTGCCCCTGTCCCTCTCTTCCTCCAGGCTCCTCAGCAGCCCACCCCGCCCCACAGATGTCGATGTGACAGGTGGCCTCACCCGATGCTCGGGTCCCCAGGCTGGGGGTGCTTCTCACTGTGCTGGTTTCAGCTATATTTGAACCCCCTGGCCCTGGCACTGGCTTCGCAGAGATACTGCTACAGTCCTCCCATGAACACAGAGAAGGCAACCACCCGGGCAGCAAGTCAAGCCAGGACCGGGGGCTGGAGTGGGACTCTGAGGGGCTCCTTGGGGCAAATCCCAGCCCTGCCCATCCCGATGGGCACCAGCTGGGGCCAGCTGCTCAGCCTCTCTTTGTCTCAGTTCCCTCGTCTTGAAAATGGGTCTGATGATAAAACCACCCAGAACTGCTAAGAGGAACACAAGTTCACGCAGGAAAAGCACTGCTAACGTTGCCTGGCCAGCAACGAGCTCTCCGCCGATTTTAGCTATTATTCCCCAAATTCCAAATCCCTTCTCCATAATCTAGGGCTTTTCTGGCTCTCCTCCTGTCAGTGAGGAGGGTGAGGGCAAGCTGTGCGGGACGAGGAGGAGGCTAGGAACACACAGCGGCATCTTTGTGGATGGCGGAAGAGACAGCGACCAGCAGAGAGACGAGAGGAGCAGAGGTTCAGAGTGACCCTGGCCCAAGGGCTCTTTCTCCGTTTAGTCTTCCCTGGGGCCCTGCCGCGGGATGCTGTCCTGACCCGACCCCATGTTCATGCAGTTGAGGAAAGGGGACACATTTGTCCCTGGCTCAGTGGGGAAGGCCGTGCTCTCCAGCAGAGCTGTGGTACCCAGAGCAGGGCCCGATCTGCCCGCTGCCTGACTCTAGGCCAGAACCCTAGGTGGGAGACCTCAGTATCCGCCCTCATGCGTGGGGCACACAGACAGGACCTTGGGCTCCGCCAGAGGAAACTTGGCTTTCCCACCTGCTGGCCCAAGGACAAGGACAGAGGACCTGGACATCCCAGGGCCCAGCTGAGGCTCCTCGCCACCAAAGCCAGAGAACCTCAGTGTCTTCTCCCCGCCTCACTGCCCAGACCCTCCCCAAGCAGGCCAAAGAGAAGATTCCCCACTTACAAGCTGGAGGGGATGTCCTGGGGGGCCCTGCAGAAGAAGACTCTAGTCAGTATTGGATGGGGACAGGTCCCGGCTGCCACGCTGCTCTCTGCTCTCCTGGAGGCCTAGCTGCCCCCGACCTGTCTCTACTCTTCCAGAAGTCTGCGGCCTCCAAGAAGATTTGAGGCCTGGAAGGCTCAGGGTCAAAGTCAGTCTGTCAATAAAGCTATTCTAGAGCCCTCCCCCCGCCCCAGAGTCCATGATGGCCCAGCACGCAGTTACCTACCGGGGGCCCGGGCTGCCCTCTCGGGCCGGGAGGACCCTGGAGGAAGAGGAGAAGAACATGAGGCCTGGCAAGCAAGTGGCTGCTATCGGCACCCCAGGCCCTCCCCAGGGAACCTGAGAGGCAGGGACAGTGGCTCCCCGGTGCAGAGAGTACAGATGGAATGAATGAGGTCCTGGGGGAAGGATGGGTCACGGGACAGCGGTCGTCATGGAGGAGGAGAACCCAGACTGCCCCCACCCTCACCCTTGCCCTACTCACTTTTGGACCTTGCAGTCCCTGGAAGGAGAGACACAAGTGGAGGACAGAGAGTTAGGGGACCTGGGCAGAGCCATGGCCCCCAAAGACTCACTCCACTCCACTCACCCCATAGCACAGCCCCAGCCCCTCTGCTCACCCAGTCCCCACGGCTGCCTTTGTCACCCTTCCGACCCTGCAACAAAATACAGACAGGGCTCAGAGGGGAAGTCTCCTTTCCTGAGGCTTGGAGCAGCCCTAGGGTGCAGAGATGATCCGGAACTGGGCAGACAAAGGCCCCGGCAGCCTTCTTCCCCGCCCCTGCACATACCGGGAGTCCTGAGGGGCCCAGGCTTCCGAGGGGCCCAACGATGCCTTCCTTCCCCTAGAGGAGAGAGACGGGTTCTGAGGACAGAGTCTCGGGGACAGGTATCCAACCAGCTGAAGGCTGGCCAGCCCTGGGGGGACTGTCCCTGCTGGGGCGCAGAAGGAGGAACTCACCATCAAGCCGGGAGGCCCCCGGGGGCCCTGGATGCCTTTGAAGCCGAGGTCACCAGGGGGGCCCTGTGGGGAGCAGAGGGAGCTGCTAGGTAGGACCCCTGGAGGTGGGGTGGGGGGGTGGGGAGTGGGTGCTGCCCGAGAGTCCTCGGGGAGATAAACCAAAGTCCCCAATTATTTAGCAACTCCAGCTGTGCGCCATGCAGTGTAGGCCGATGGTCTTAATGTTGCCCGCCATCTTCCAGTTGTACTCTTCCCATTTGGAAATCAAGGCTTAAAGGGACCCCCAGACGGGCCTGAGGCACAGAGCATGTAACAGCAGGGCTGGGAGCCCGGGTGTGTGGCCGGGAGGCTCAGCTCCACTTCCCGCTGCGTTCCAACCCCCAGTAGGGCATTTGTGGAATGGAGAAAGGCAGGCATGAATGAGAGGATGGGTGCACGGACCCCACGGGAGCAGGCACGAGCAGGGGTCTGTACCTTGGGTCCGAAGAGGCCAGCCACTCCGGGGAAGCCCATTTCACCGGAGTCGCCCTGCAGGAAAAACAGGAGTCCCATGGGAAGGGCGGAGAGAGAACAGAGGGACCCAACGCCCCACACCCCTGCCAGGACAGGGGCGGAGCCCAGCTCAGGGGCTCCACCAAGGAGGCTCAGGAGTTCCTGCCCCAGGCCTTCAAGGAAGGCAGTGAAAGGACCCGCACCCCCACCCATCCCAAAGCTCTCTGGAGGAGGGAGCCCCTGAAAGCACTCCGCTTCACTGTGATCTGCTGTGTCGGTCAGGCTTAGCAAACATGCTCCCAGCCTCCCAGTGGGAACACCGATCTCCTATTCACAGACCCTCAGGCTGACACTCCCAGAAGGCGGGGATTGGCTGAGTCACCATGGGCCCCACGGGGCGCACACCCAGGCCCTGGGGCCCACTCACCGGCTGGCCCTTGGAGCCCGGCTCCCCCTGGCTCCCAGGAAGCCCCATTCCGCCCTCTGTGCCCCGCTTGCCGGGAGGACCCAGTTGTCCGGGTAACCCGCTTTCACCCTGAAACAAACACACCAGAACGACCAGTCAAGGCAGGAAGTAGTTCTGGGTCCCTTGAAGTCTCAGTATATCTGGTGACGGAGGGACGCCGGAGTGGGGCACTGGCCCATGCCTGAGCCTCCTGAGGGTGTCTCCTTTCTTACCCTGGCACCCCCTCTCCCTCCCTGCCTTCTCCTCCTTTGCTCCTCCTCACCCAGGACCCTCAGGGAAGGAAGCGCTCTGAGGAAACCTGGGTGCCTCCGACATCTGTTGTTGCGCAAAGGCCCGCATGGGGGCGCCCGTGGACAACGCAGCGGCAGAGGACAGTGTCTACCGCCCGGTAGGGGGCAGTATTTACAGCTCTTCGGAAAGACTATCCTGTAAGTCTGGGTCAACACTGGGGCCGGGACCCCCAGGAAAGATCAACAAGGTGGATCCTGTTTTCACACGGGTCCTGGGCCATGGGTGCTGGAAGACCCCATTACACTACAGTCAAACCCAGGACAGACAGGGAGGAGGGTGTGTAGGTAGATCAGGAAGGGTCTGACCTTGAATCCTGGGGGCCCCTGTGCTCCAGGCAAGCCGGCTACACCCGGATTTCCTCTCCTCCCAGCAGGGCCCACGGGGCCGGGGTCCCCGTCGTCTCCCTGCTCTCCCTGTGGAGAAAGTGGGCAAAGGCAGTGGTGGGGTGTCCCGTGTTTCAGGAGGCAGACAGCCCAGGAGGTGGGGTAGCCGGAGCTGCAGTGGACAGGGACAGAGCGGAGGGAGGGAGGTGACACCTGCCCTCTGTGAGATGGCCGGACCCAGGGGCAGGAGCAGCTGAAGGTCTGCGGGTGGAGGCGGAAGGAGCTCCATCCACACACAGGCAGGGGGCAGGCTCAGTGACCTTCCAGGTGCCGCACTGCACTACCAGGCCCGAGCGGGGAGGGGCTCCTTCCCCCCACAGCATCCCAGGACACTGCTCCATGTTGGCTCTGCCCCACCCGTTTCTCAGCCTGCTCCTCTGCCCAGTGGCCCATGATGGTCAGCCCCACATCTGTCCCAAGTGGAGACCCCCTCTGCCACCCCCAAGCCTGCTCACCTGCTGTCCTGCTCGGCCATCCCTGCCTGGAAGCCCGTCTGGTCCAGCGGCACCCTCAGGGCCTTGTCTCCCTACCACGCCCCGAGGCCCCGGCAGCCCCTGCAGTCCCTGGGGGCAAAGAAGAAGCAGGGTGAGGGCTTCCCGGGGGAGCAGGGGGCCAGCGGAAAAGCAGCAGCCACGCCACTCACCTGGATTCCCCTCCGGCCTGGCGCCCCGGCCTTGCCTGCCTTTCCCTTTGGGCCCTAGAAAGACAAAGTCAAGGCCAGTGTCAGTGGCTGCCTGGAGGAGGAGTGGACCCTAGGCTAAGGAGGCGCACGGTGAGTGTCAGCTCCCACCCGGGGCCAGGCAGGACGGCCCAGGAGCCTAGAGTCAGGGCTGCTGGCGAGGCTGGCCAGTGCTGTCCCTGCGCTGCTTCGAGTCCCGTGTTCCCTCTCTGTCCCTTGCTATCAAGACTCTGGATATGCCCTCAGTCAGACTGGAGCTCAGGGCTGGCCCGGCCATGGACTGAGAGTGTGGCTCGCCAAGCCCAAGGGGTACGGGTGGGGGCACGGCTGGGAGGGCATTTATCTGGCTCCATTTCAGGGCACCCCCGTCCCTCTCCTCTCCCACCAGATCCCCGGCTCCTTTCTCCAGCTGCTCTGGCCCTACGGATGCGATGGCAGATAGAAAGGCTACGTGTCTTGGGCCCCTGACCACCCTGTGTCCCACTGGCCAAGCTCCAACAGGCAGGCCGCCTCCCGCAGCCCCTGCAGAATGGGCCACAGGGCTTGGGGTGCAGGTTCAGCTCCCTCCCAGCCCTGCCTGCACTCCCTGTGCCCTTCTCCCTCGCCAGGCCCCACTTTCCCTCTTACCTCTTCGCCTTTTGATCCTTTGGGTCCCGGCCGCCCCCGGGGTCCTGGATGCCCCTGCAAACCAAGGTGAGATGACGCAAGGCAGCCCCAGGATTCTCCGCCTGGAGGGGGAGGGTGGGGAGGGGTTTGGGGGGTGCAGGCTCTGGGGGTGCCCCCAGGGTCAGGGCAGGAGAGACCAGAAGGGGCTACCGCCCCAGGTCTTCCTGCAAGGAGGGTCCCTTTATTTTTGTTTTTGTCTTTTTGAGACAGGGTCTCACCATGCAGTTCAGGCTGGCCTTGAGCTCACTTTGTAGCCCAGGCTCATCTCAAACTTACAATGATCCTCCTGCCTCAGCCTCCCAAGTGCTGGGATCACAGGCGTGCGCCATCACACCCGGCTAAGGAGGTTCCCTTTAAGCACTAAAGGGCTGGTTCTTAATTATCCCTGCTCCACCCGCTTCAGGGCAGGAGGATGGGAGAGGAGGCACCACTCACGGGCTGGCCCTGCTGGCCGGGCTTTCCTCGGAGGCCTTGCACACCCTCCTGTCCCTGGAAAGCAAGGGGGGCAGGTGAGGGGTGCATCTTGGAGGGGGCTGGGAGCCAAGGCGGAGCCCCGAAGCCCTTGGGCCACTGTCCCTCTCTGAGCCTCAGCTTCATCTGCAAAATGGGTGCAGCAGTGACACCACCAGCACAATTAAAAGAGGACGGGAAGAGCCTGGCGGGGCTCGATGGCTGGAAGAGCTGTTCCCAGCCACAGATGGGGACACGGAGGCCCTCAGAGGAGAAGGGTCTGCTCAGGACCACGCTGGAGGAAACTGTTGATGGACCAGGCACAGGGGTCTGCTCCCCGACCTCATCCTTGGTCCCTCAGCAAAATCGGGTCTTGCTTCCTGCCTGGGCACTGCAGGTAGGGCCTCTGTCCCGCGCCATGTGCAAGTGCCCTCTCAGGACACTCCCTGCCCTGCCAGGAGGGAGGCTCCATACTTACAGGGTATCCAGGGTCCCCAGGTTCCCCGCGGTCTCCTCGATCACCCACAGGACCCTGAACCACAAGAACAATAGCAGGAAATGGCACAGAGCTCCTCGGGGCTCTCTGAGGCCTCCCCTACCCGGCAAGAACCTGGGCTCCACCCGGGACCTCATCCAGCCCCGGGGACAAAGGGTGTCTTACCCGATCTCCAGGTGGCCCAGGGGGACCCTCGGCCTTGCCATCCTCACCCTGCTCTCCCTGTGGATACAGAACCACCTTTAGTTTTGTTTTTGTTTGCTTTGATTTTCTGAGATGCGGTCTCGGTCTCGCTATGTATTTCAGGCTGGCTTTGAACTCACGGTGTAGCCCAGGCTAACTTCAAACTGCAGGTGATCCTCCTGCCTCAGCTTCCCAAGCACTAGGATTACTGGTGTGTGTCACCACGCCCTAAAGAACCAGCTTTAGGACAAGCCACCCATCCTGGGGAACTGGGGCATTCTAGCTGGGAAGGGCCTTCTTCAGAAATGAAGTCCAGCCTTGGTAGGGCAGCAGATGGGGACACTGAGGCAGATCCGGATGTATAGGTGTGTCTGAGCAGACCCAAGTATGGCGTGAAACCAGGATCATGCAGCACAGCCAGTGCTCTTTGGCCTCCATCCCTGAAGCCCTGGACTGTGTATGTCCCTTCCTGTCTCTGAGCTGCTTTTCTTGGCAGGGTTAGGGGTGGAGGGACAACGGGTAGAGGGCATAGAGGAACAGCTAGGTGTCTGAGCCACAGTGGCCAGCCAGCGGCATGCATGGGCACTGCACAGCCAGACATGGGCACTCCCAGAATGCCCCCAGCGGCCCCCTTGTGACCACATCTCACAGAGCAGCCACAGGGAGGTGACAGGCGCGCTCAGAGCCGCTCAGTGACAGTCCCTCTCTCCAAAGCTGCCCGGGGGCGGTGGGCACCTCAGGGTGCGCTTCCTCCCTTCACAGGGAGGCCCAGAGAAGGCTAGGTCTGCCCCGGGGCGCGCACCAGCGGTCACTTGGTGTCTCATCCACGCATCGTGGGGAGAGGGCGCGGGACAGGCCTGTCCGGCCCAGAGCACGCTGCTGGCCCTCAGCAGACAGCCGTTCAAACTTCCGTCCTTGAGAAAGGTAACGGCAGTGAGCATGTCACGTGGACCGGCCAGGACACACTGCGAAGGGAGCAGAGTGCAGAGCGGGGACCCTCACTCAGGCCACTGTAGGCTCTGACCTGGGACAGGACAAGTGGTTGGACGCCTCTGGCCAGCAGAAGGGAGGTGTACGCGGGAAAGCCCAGGGCAGAATCTCAGGGCTCAGGACACCCGCCTGAAAAGCAGGGTCAGCTCCCGGAGGGTCTCTTCTGGGTGAGGGCTCAAGCCAGGGCACCCTTGCTGGCCACAGAGCTCGAGACGGCCCCGGGCAGCAGGGCAGGGAACAGAGCTGGGCTAGCGGATGAAGGCTGGTGACCACAGCACCTTGGCTAGGGGCTCTGGGGCTCCTGTGGGCAGCGGCTGCACGCAGGCGGGACTCGGCCCAAGGCCCAGACCCAGCTGTACCCGGGGGGGGGGGTGGCCCCAAGAGTGGAGAATCCCTCTCCGTCCCACTGCTCTCTGTGGCCCGTTGACCTAATCCTCAGTCTCACCATGGAGGGCAGCAGGGAACCAGGGGGCTTTGGGACAAGGTACCAGCGTTTACCAGGCACGTCTTATGTGGGACACATCACAGTCTGTCTCACTGTGTGTCACGGAATCCATACAGCAGTCTACACTGCTGGGGTTGCTGTCCCCACACTACAGATGGGGAAACTGAGGCCCAAGGAGGAAAGGGTCTCCGATAAGGCCACTTAGGAACCAGGGTGGAAAGGAACTCTCCAGACCTCCTCCAGCACATACCACATCGTGACGGCTGCAGGTCAGGGGTGCAGTATTAATACTGGGAAGCCCCTCCCCAGCCCTGCTGTCAGAGTGTCATCCCTGCCCTCTGCCACCTCCTCGCAGACATGTGTCCCGTGGTGGGAGGTCCAAGCACACTGGCTCATCAGACTGGGTCTGGTCTTGGCTGCAGGAGCAGGACCCGGCATCAGCCAGATGGTCTGCATCCCGGCCCTGCTGCTCCGCTGTCTTGCCGGTCCAGAGCCAGCCCCTGACACCACGGGAACCCAGTCCCCAGCGCCTGCCCCTGTGCTGGAGGACAGTGATGCCTGTGGGCCAAGGTGGTGGCCAGGGCCATGGCAGAAGTTCAAGGGAAGAGCAGGCTCAGGTCCACACAATGACATTTCTACTGAAAAGGGGACAGCCTACGTGACAGCGTCAGCTTCTGGGCCCGCCCCCCCAGCCCTGGGCGCTCCCTGCAGGATGGTCGGAGCCACAGTGCTCCAGGACAGAACCGCACTCCCCGAGCGTGACTCAGCCACAGCAGGACTTAGTTAGCGGGGCGCTGACTCAGCGAAAGGCAGGAAGGCTGGGGAGGCCGCGGGGACCAGGAGCCAGGGCCCAGCGCAGCCTGCGAGGAGGCGTGTGTTACCGCTGAGCCGTTATAGGAGGAGGACAGGAAGGGGGAGCTCGGAGGCCTGGTTCCAGGATCACTGGGCGCTGCCTCCGGACGTGACCCAGTGACCCAGGGCCCTCGGGGTACCCTCTGCACTACGAGGGTCGCCAACCATCGAGCCGTCTTTGACAGCTCCTCTCCTGTCCCACACCTGGAGCCCGGGGGGCGGGCAGATGTCTCCACGGGGCTGCCTCGCTCCACAGGGCCCTCCTGCCAGGTGCCCTCCCCTCCCACGCTGGCTGATCTTCTCTGTGTGCAAATCTTCCTTTCCCACATTCACATCAATAAGGGGTGACACAGCTGTCCCACGACTGAGTCATTTCTCCCGCTTGACCCCTAAGGGCCAGGATGGCGCCTGCGCTTGCACCAGTGCGGGGCACGAAGACGACACCCACGGACACAGTGATGGCCGTCAGTCCCTGCCTGCGGCCTGCGGCCTCAGTGACGCTGGGTACAGGGCCCCCGCCAGGTCCGCCACAGTGTGAGCAGACGGGGAGCCACCATGGGGCTCGTGCCTGCTGGCCCTAGAGCTGGGCGCCGACCTTGGCCCGAGAAATGAGGAGCAGCTGATTTTCCAAGCCCGCACACCCACCTTCTCGCCTTTTGGTCCCGGAGGCCCAAGGGGTCCCACAACGCCTTTGTGTCCCTGCAGGCAAGAAGACGGGGAGTGAGGCCCCAGGGGGGCAAATGACGAAGGATGGGTGCTCAGAAGGGGAGGTGCTCCTCAGTACAGCTGGGCCCCAGCCCTGACCCAACCTTCGTGTGGCTCTGAGCACGGCTTGCAGACACGCCCTAGCTGAGCTGGACACTCCTCTAGCTGGAGGGCCAGCTTGGATGGTCGGGCCCTACCCTCCCGCCCAGGGCAGACAGGGACAAGAGCAGGACAGGTGCCGCCTCAAGGGAGACCCGTGGCTGCCCTGATGGGCTGAGCTCCTTCCTCCCTCAGACGATGTCCTGAAGTTCTGGGTAAGGCAGATGGGACATCCGCCAACAGCAGGGAGGACTCTGGAGGCTGGGGATGGGTGATAGTACCCCGTCTCCCCCAACCCACTCCACCCATGCTCCCCGACCCCCCATCAGGTGTGGGCCCAGGAGCTCCCCGGCAGACCGAGGCCCCACATCCTCAGGGGCCTGGGGGTGGCCCTTCGCTGGGGCGGGGGGACAGAGCCCAGCTGCAGGACAGTTCCAAGGAGGGCAGATTTCCTTAGGGCAGCTTCTGCTTACACCGTAACCAGCCAGTCCTGGTTCTCCTTGGGCCCCCATCCGTCCTGGAGCACCCTAGAGGGGAGGAGAGCCCAGTGGTATGGCGTGGGCATCCCAGTGGGGGTCTTCTCCCACCCAGCCCTTCCTCCTCCCTGTTCCCCAGGGCCAGGATGGCGCTAGCTGCATTTCTAGGACTTTCAGGAACTATTTAAACAGAGCCCTTATTGCAATTTAAAACTTACGGACTTAGGGCTAAATCAGTGTCATTAAAAACACATAGAAACTCCAAACTCACCCCTTCCGATCCTTTCCCTCCAGCCCACTCCGGCTGTGCGCGCTTGTGTCTAGGGCACCCAGGGCGTGAGGCGCTGTCTGACAGAGCGCCCCTGTCTCGCACCACAGTGAACCCTCACAGCGAGGGAGCAGTACAGGCCACACCCTCCCACCTGCCCCAGCCTCCTAGGCTTCTCCTCCCTGCGGGTGCTGCACCCCTCTGGGTTCCTGCCTTCAGGGAGCCCAGGAAGGCCCGGGCACACCCTGGGTGTCATCGAGGCGCTGACCCCAGACCCCCTGGATCTATTGTCAGCAGGAAAACTCCGTGTTGGATAAAAATACCCTCAAGGACCTGGCGCCTCCCACCCCGTGCCACGCAGTGGGACGTCATTAATCGGGGCCCCACAGAGCCCTTCAAACAGCAAGAACAGTCCCCTCTGTGTATTCGTGCACCCAGTATGAATACCTACTACCCTACCTACTAGGGTTGTAGCTTTCTGCAGGTTCCTAAGGGGACCCGTGGGGGGCACGTGGTGGCTGAAATAACGAAGGCCGGTATCCGGCTCACAGTTGGGGCCGGATGCCTCCCTCCCTGCCCACCCTCACCTCCCACCCCAGCCGGATCCTCACCGTTGGTCCCAGGCTGCCCCGGGACCCTTTAGGGCCTGGGGTGCCCGGGGGTCCGGAGTCCCCAGGGACGCCCATCTCACCCAGCTGTCCTGGGTAGCCCTTGGAACCCTGCAGGGGAAGAGACAAGCTGTGGCGGGGCTAGTGGAGGCAGGGCGGGGACAAGGGCCAGCGTGGAAGGGCGGGGGCACCCACCTTGGCTCCCATCCGGCCCTTCTCGCCCTGCTTCCCTGGTTTTCCTTCGGGACCCTGAAGGGAAAGAGAAGAGCTGAGCGCAAATCAAGGCAGATCCCAGAGGCGTTGGGCTGGTGGCCCAGGCAGGGCTCCCAAATCAAACGGATACGGCCACCAGGCAGCCCTGCGGCCCTGCGTGTGACCCGACCCCAGGCTGGGAGGCTCATCCGAGCAGCGGACAGGGCCCTGCGCGCCTTGCAGAGCTGAGGGTTCAGCTCAGGGATCAGGAGGAGACTTGCAGCCTACCGCAGTACTGGGCCACAGTGAGCCCTCAGCCCCTGGAACAGGAGGGGAGGGGCTCCGCTGTCGTCATGGTTACGGCCAGCCACCCAGGGGAAGCCTCGGGACAGCTCTCTGTAAATCAGCTGCCACCCACTTTATGTGTAACAGGCTCCAGTGCCCCTCCACCACAGGTACTCCGAAATGTAGCCCTGGCCCTCGGAGAGGGGTTCAGCATTGTCTCCATAGCTGTCAGGGAAACGCTACTCAGTAGCGGTGTGTGAGTGTGTGCACCAGAGTGTAAGAGTCAGAGACAGAGGAAAGAGACAGTGCCCTCCCTCAACCCACCAGGTTGGGATATATGGGTTAGGGCAGGCAGTGTGTCGGTCTGGCAGGAACTTTCTGCCTGTGAGCCTCAAAAGGGTTGGAAAGAACATCTATGCTGTTGATAAGTATTACAAAGCTGGCTGGATTTAATCCTTCTGGTTGCATTAACAGAGGCACACACTACAGGACGAGGGAGAGGATGGTCCCTATCGTCTGACTACCTGTGATAGAAGAGGAGTAGGAAGGGGTGGTCGGTCCTAGACTCCTGTCTGCAGATTTCTGAAGCCAGGTTCTCTGGGGTGGCCAGTGCCTCAGAATCACAGGAGGCCAGTTTTGAGGCAACACAAGGCAGCAATGTCTGCTTGGAAAGAATGTGGGACCGGTATGGGAGAGGACAACTGTATCTCAAGGCAAGCCCCTGCCAGACTGCGCAGTGGCCCTCAGGGAGGACCGAGGGTGGCCCTAGAAGGCGCCAGGCGCAGACTGCCCCGTCCTGCTGCTTGAGTCCTCATGTGACGCTAACCGGTCCCTTGAGCCTCAGTCTCCCCAGCTGGATTAGAAAGGTCTTGGACCAGACCCGTGCTGCCCGATCAGAGGTGCTGAACCGTGGCCGCTAGGACCAGGGAACTTAATTCTTCACTGTATTAAATCTTGATTTAAAATTAAATTTGAAAGCTCATTACTGGCAGAAACTTTTAAGTACGTTTGAAACAACCTGGGTTTGTGAACCTACATTTTCAACTGTACATTTTATGAAGTCTAAATACTGATCAAGTCTTTCCAGCGAACATTTGCATCTGAACTGGGATGTACTGTGAGCAGAAATGATATATCAGATCTAAAAGATTGAGTGCAGAAAAGAGAATGGCACTCGCCTGTAATCCTAGTACTCTGGGGGCTGAGGCAGGAGGAGCTCTGTGAGTTCAAGGCCAGCCTGGGCTACATAATTAGTTCAAAGCCAGTTTGAACTACACAGCAAGATCCTGTCTTAAAAAAAAGAATCCACCCCCTCAAAAGAAAAAAGAATGGAAAAGATCAAATTAATGACTTTTAATACTGACTACATGTTGAAATAATATCTTCTATCTACTGGGCTAAATAAAATGCATTGTTAAAATTAATCTCACCTATTTCTTTGTACCTTTTAAAAATGTGGCTACTAGAAAATTTAAAATTGCACATGTGGCTTATATTCTGTTTCCCTTGGCCAGTGCTAAACTAAGTGATCTCAAGGTCTCTCGCTTCTTCCACTATAAAATGCCAAGAACCATGACCTTGATCATAGGCCAGGTGCCGTGTACTACCCAGACTCCCCACACTACCCAGACCCTCACTGGATTCTCCCCGGTGCTGAGAGGAAGGAGCTATTTAGCCCATTGCAGAGCTAAAGAGATCAAGGCTCAGTGAGATGGAGATGCCACCTACAGCCACCCAACCAGGCCGGAAGTGAGGTGTGGATGCACGGTGCCTGGAGGACCTCTTGTGCCAGGCTCATGACATGGTGGCGGTGGCATTTGCCAGTGGACTGAGGTGACCATAGGACTGACAGACCCAGGATCCATGGTCCAGGGACAGGAGGCTGGGCCTCCCCTAGGGTGGGGTACCACTAGGTCCCATGGTTCTCCATGAGGGGACCCTGAGGACCACAGTGGGAGCACTCAGTGGGGAGGCGGTGTGCTGGGATAGAGACTGGCTGGCTCCGCCCACACACAGTCACGGGTCACACAGGGCTGGGGACATGAGCTGAGAAACGCGTTGCCTGGCACACAAGGGGCTCTGGCAAGATCAACTGGGGCAGTGACAGTGAACCTTTTACAGCTTGCATTGATAACAAAGGCCGGGGTGGCTCGTAAAATTCTATTTTGAAATACTTGAGCGTTTCCAGGACAAACACTGGGAGGTCTTTGTCCTACAGCCCTGATGCCAAAAAGACTCCAATGTAAGCCCCTACTGTCTCTGTTACCCGACACGCACAAGACTGCCCCGATGCTCCCTCCCATCCTAGCAGATGAGACCCATGAGGGACAGCAATATTCCAACATCAACACTGCTACCACCACCACCACCGGTATGACCACCACCATGACCACCATGACCACCACCATGA